AAAGAAGAGGGAAGAAGAATCAATGTGTTTGAAGTGCAGTGCTGGAGAAGAATATTGAAAGCACCAGGAACTGTTCAAGAGACAAACAAATCTGTTTTGGAAAAAGTACAGCCAGAGTGCTCCTTAGAGGCAAGGATGGCAAGACATTGTCTTGCATGCTTTCGATATGTTGTCAGGAAAGACCAGTCTCTTGAGAGGACATCATGCTTGGTAAAGTAGAGGGACAGTGAAGGACAAGAAGGCCCTCAAGGTGACGGATTGACGCGGGGGCTGCAGCAACAATGGGCTAGGGCAGAGGAACAATTTTAAGATGGTGCAGGACCATCAGTGTTTCATTCTATTGTCCATAAGATCGCTAGGGTTTGGTACCAGCTCAATGGCACCGAACAACAGTCGGGATTTAGAAAAAACAAAACCCATGGTCATAGTCGATTCGAATTAATAGCCACCTAATAAAGTTTCAGAGGCTTTGTAAATTTTTATCGGAGCAGACAGGCTTGTTTTTCTCCCTCCAAGAGGCTGTAAATTTAAATGACAGGCCTTGCAACCCAGTGTTTACCAGACAGCACCACCTGAGCTACTGGTTGGATTGAGAGCCCACTCTAAATCCAGGATGATTTCCTTAACTAATTACCTCTCTCAAGTTCCTGTTTGTAGATACGGTCACATTCTGATGTTCTATCCAGCTGAACATGAATCATTAGGGGATGTACTCAAGCCACTATACCATAGGTTTCCAAATTCATTTAGACCTCTTTTCAGAAGAAACAAAACAATGCTTAGCACCCTGTTTTTGCCTCTCTTGAAAACTTTTGTACTGCAGCCCATAATCCAGGACAATATGTGGTTATCTGCTTTTGCAATGCACCCCTGCCCCTGAATTGTTTCAGCACCCCCAGAGGGCAGTATCCCTCACTTTGGGAAACACTGCATTATGCCTGAAAAGGCCACACAGCTGGTTACTGGTTGAAACAGGATACAAACGTAGGCAGTTTAACTCAATAACCTGTGCTTTCTAATCTCTAAGTTTAGTGCTATACACCCAATCTACATAATTCGTTAATCATGATAATGCTAGTAGTAATAATGCTAGCTGATGTCAGCATGGTAAAGTATTTAGCAGTTCTTTAAAAAAAAATTTTTTTTATTGGGGACTCATACAACTTTTCTCTCTCTCTTTCTCTCTTTAAATCATTTTATTGGGGGCGCATACAACTCCCATCACAATCCGTACATCCATTTTGCTAAGCACATTTGTACATTTGACTTGTTGCCATTGCTTGGCAGTTCTACTCTGTCTTTTAGGGTTGCCACGGATTTGAATGGAATCTACGGCAATGAGTTTTAACTTTTTATGAATTCTTTTTAAGTGCCTACTTGTTGCTGTAAGTGCTTCTCATGAAGGATCTCAATTAATAACCAGGAAACATCTCATCTAAATCAGATTGAAATCTGAAAAGTTTTGGCAAATTAGCTGTCACAGCAATCAAGTTTGACATAAGAAAAACAAAGCTTTATCCATCACCCTACGGAGCTCCACACACTCCCTGTCTCCCTGTGGGAAAGGCAGGAAGCTGCAGCAACCTCAAATTTTACACATGTAAATTGGAAACTATGTGGCTCTGAGAGAAGCCATAGTGCAATAGTCCTATTGTGATGGGCTTCTTTTGCTCAGATTATTATTCATTTATTCACTCCTGCATTCATTTATTCATCTGCTCACTCAATGAATAGTTATTGAATGCCTGTCTGTGATGTAACAACCCACTTCAAAAGGCTACACAGATAAAGAAGGCATAGTCTCTGGGCCCTGAGGGAGAAAAACAGGAGAACAAGTCTTTCCAGGGAATGTTATTGGAGGAGAAGCACAAAAGGCTATGGGAGGCCAGCAAGGAAACTGCCGAACGTTGTCTGGGGACACCGGGAACATTTCCCAGAGAAAATGACCAGATGTGTGGTTCCCTGGGCAGGACAGGAGAAGGGTCTCCAGGTAAACTGAGGGCTTTGCAAAGACAGGGAGGTGTGACTCACATCCAGGGGACTTTCAGGTAGCTGGTAGAACCGAAACTTGAAATCCATGTGCGGAAGGGGCAGGAGATAGGACGACATAGATTAATTACATAGACGAGAGTTACTATATCCACGGTCACGGTTCGAGTAGATTTTATAAAAGTTCCTCAGGAGGTGGAGGCAAACCAACTTAAAGGAGCAAGCCCAGAAAGAAAGACAGTAGATACCTGATACTTTGAAGCTGCTGCTTTGATGCAGGGTCTATGACTTGGTGATATTTTGAGGCAGCTAAAAAGTGATTAAAGTTTCAGTTCTCCGAAATTACCAAGCGATGTGCAAAACCAAGCCGTCTCACCTCATCACGGACTCTCGCCCCATGCCAAGTCCTGAGTCTGGGTTGCAGCCCAGGGATGCGCTGGAGCCTGGGAGTGGGGTCTCAAACAGGGTGAGATTTGACAACATCTGCCAGACAAGCTACTCGTAATGAGGAGACAGGTGTTTCTGTAGGTTCCTAGCTCAGAAAAGGTCGTTAGTAGACAATACGCATGCTGCCTCTTCCCCGAGAGCTCCCTTCTTGCAGTCATAATTATAATGACATTTTACTTTTCGCTTCTGAGCCAAACCAAACTCAACACCAATGAATCGATTCTGACCCATAGTCACCTTATACATATTACTGGCAGCCCTGGTGGTCAAGTGGGTTTCCCATTGGCAGCTAAATGTAAGGTCAGAAGTTTGAAACTACCACCAGCTCTTCTGGAGGCAGATGAGGCTCTCTACTCCTGTAGAGTTACAGGCTTGTAAATCCACAGGGGTAATTCTACTACTCAGTGCTCTAGGCTTGCTGAAGAGTTGGCATCAACTGGGTGATAGTAAGTTTGGCTTTTGGACCCATATTATTACATGCTTTAACTGATATCTCATCTGGTGTTTTTCTCTTTTCTTTAACTTGAATTTAAGACACATATCACATATATCATATCTCTTCTGTTTTTTATTGGAAAAATCTCAAGAATGGAAACCTCTGTTTTAGGGACTTCCATATAGTGTTCACTTTCTTTTGCAGGCCCAAGTTATACCTTGGGAGGAAGATTAGGGAGAGAGTATATGAATTAAGACTGTTTTGTTTGGAGTAAAAAAAAATCGGTGATGTCTGTGTATGTAACTGGGAAGTCTGGGATGCAGCTGATTTGAGGCATGGCTGCCCTCAAGGTCTTTCTGGCTCTCTCCTTTCTCTATGGTCAGACTTGCTGTCACTGGCACCCCAAGACCCATTTCCTTCCTATAAACTGACAGATAAAAGAACATCTTTCTTGATATCTCCTGCAAAATAGGAATGGCACTCCGATTCTCCAGCTTGGGTCATATGTTTATTCCTGAACCTAAACATGCAAGGGAGAAGGAAGAATCAAGAATAACCCCCTCCTTTGTCAGGTGATCTCCTTTCTGATGTACGCTGCACCTGGTCTGGTTTTCAACATTTTCTGTATTTTCATTTTGTTTGTTCATATTAGCGTTTATCTCAGACGTGCTATGTAATTGGGGGTCACCCTCTTGAAGTTGTGTTAAATGAACTCCAAGATTGATGAACCTATAGGGACAGCATGTAGAATAAGGGTTTCTGGGGGTGGGGGGCTGGTGGTGGGGGGTGGGTAAAAGAGAGATGTGATAGGTGTATTGTACAAACCTGGCCAATAGGAACATGTAGGATTAATCAGGTCGCAGTTTGATTGGAGGGCAAAGAGATAAATGGCTTTGCAAGACCCACCCCCATCTCTTTTGCACTCTGGTGATTGGACCAGTGTGCTGTTGCTTTAGCTAGTTCTCTGCCTCAACCTGTGAGCTACACTCTCTGTGGCCAAGCCAACCTGTGGATCATGTAGCTGGAGCTTCAGGCTCCTTCAAGAACTGCTTTGTAGTGCTGCTGGTGCATACATCCATCCACCAGCTTGAAGCTGGTTGATCCTGTCACCTGGCAGTGCTTGAGTTTGTTATCACCCCAGGCCACTTTTCCAAGCTCCTGAGCTATTGACTGTTGCTGACCCACCCTGCTGTTTGCTGCCTGCAGGCAGACTCTGCCTACCTTGCCCCAGGGAGGACTCCACTGTCTGCTTCCTTGATCTTGGACCCA